ACGGGTGAAGATGTCGTAGGCGGTCGAAAATCTGAGCGATGTCAAGGTTACAACGCAGCCATCAGCGCCTTCGGTGCAGGAGGGCGCTGGGAGCTATCACTGCAGCATTGCCGCGAGCTGCTGGCCACGTCGCTGCATCCTGGCCTGCACTTGCGACCCGGCTTGTAGTTGCAAGATTCCACCTTGTGCTCAAGGCCTGACCAAGTGAGCTGCGGTGCTGTGATGGATGCAGCTGCCAAGGGAGGTCGCTGGGATTGGACCCTCACTGTTCTCTCATCCATGGGAAGGTGGAGGCTTGCACCAGACATCTTCAACTACAACATTGCCATTTCAGAGGCATCCCACTGGCAGCAGTCACTGCAGCTGCAAGGATGCCGCGAGTCAGGCAGAGCACCGAATGGGATCACCTACTCCAATTCGCTGACAACTCTCGCAGCGCATGGGTGCTGGAAGTTCGCCCTCTGCATGAGCCGGCGCAGCTCGGTAGAGAGTTCAATCAAATCCGAAGATCGCTTCTGCACTTGTGCCAGCCGAGGCATGCGGACCGACCGCTGCCACAGCGATGCTTGGTTGAGTCTGGTGCGTGTTGGCGCGCCCTTTCACCGTTTCGAGCTTCATGCTCCCCCATCCGAGGAGATTGCGTGCGGTGCAGCACTCAATGCTTGCGAGAAAGGCCTTCAATGGCGAGCTTCATTGATGATGCTGCGATGCTTTGCGCAAACTTGCACAGACACCGACACACCATGTCCAGGCCATTCGCAGTGCGTTGTGGTTTGCTGTTTCAGGATGGATGGCACAGCAAGGCATGGAGACGAATGAGATCTGTTACAGGGCAGCCATGGGCCCAGCTGGCCCAGCTAAGCTACGCAACGAGACTCCTTTGAATGATATGTCACCAGCGATTCCATGGCTGGGCCAAGGCGATCAGCGCATCGGAGAACCAAGACCAGCAGCTTCCCTGAAAGGAGCTGACTCCAAGAATTGCTTGTTATTTCCCTCGGGAGAGGTGGCCTGTGGCACTCCTTCTGCTGGTGGATCCCTCGACTCCAGCGGGTGGAGCTGTGAGCTCTGTCAGCTCATTCGACAGCGCACTCTCCGCCTCGGAGGCGGTGCAAGCATCCTGGAGGCCGTAAGCGCATGGTCCTATGCACTACATACGACACAACGACACGATCACTAGGAGTCCTTGCAGGTCGAGCCGGATCCAACGACACGGCGGCGAGCTGCGGATTCTTCCTGAGCTCTCCGAGGATCAGCTCCAGCGCCTCAGCTTGCAGGAGCCTCGGAATCCGCGGCGCTTCGCCGACGTCGCGCCCCCGCCCTGAAGGAGCTCAGCGTCCTTGCATGGTCGACGGCCTC